TTTGTATTTTTGTATTTGATACAAAGCAAGCAGGAGTTAGGAAAAGAGTGACGATGAGATGTTTTAGCCACGTAAGGTCTAGGCTAAGATAGACTTAAGATTTCTAAGCATATGCAATATTTATATATATACGCATAATATTTCTAAAGAAAAGCAAAAACGCAGAAAAGATGAGACAAGCCTACTTACATGGAAAATATAAAAGAAGATAATCAAAATTATACAAAAACACAAAATTGATTTTTTATTTCCCTTTTGGTTCTAATCTCACATTTGTTGGTTGTGCAATCATACATTTCATTTTGTGCAATATTTCGTTGAGCTTTCAAGGAAATCTCTTGAAATTATCTTTTTATTTATTTTCGCCATTATTTCATCGACTTACAACTTTTGAGACAGTTACAGAAATCTACTTAAATAAGCAACATACATAATACTTTCCTATTTGTGAGACTGAATGAATTACTATATATACAATACTCTTAACTCATAGAAAAGACAACCAAGTTCTATCGGCAGCCCCTTCTTATAGAGAGTGTGCTGTAGACTTGGCAAAACCCCAACCATTTCGATATATATTTTACCGAACCTTTTGTTTGAGCAAGCATTGTAATATATTACGATACGGATATGGATACATCTAGGTTTATAGATATATATATATTTATACAAAGCACACATACATAAATACGTAGTCGTAGAGAGCTATAACTTTAGCTATTTATACATACGAACAACCTATGGCCTATGGTTAAAGCGCCCAACTTTGTACAGCAATTGAAATCTGTTTCAGGATTCAAGGAACGTGACGACACAACGTAAATTTAAATGGAGAATAAATGACTGCTTCTTAGTGTTATAAGTGACTCTGATTTAGGTCGAACACACTCACACTCACTCACACACACAAATGATTCAAGGATCAATTCTAGAAATCAAATCCAAATATATATTCCATTATATATTCAATAAGTCTATCGTATACCTTTATTGCAATCAATATTTCAAGTGTATGAATCTATATAATTACAATTATCTATAATTCAGCCCTATATAGATCATGTAGAGCCTTTGTTATACGTATTACCTACGAAATTGTTTCCCCACTCTCTCTCTCATATACACAAAATGTACAAAATTGGTTCTCATAAATAATTAAAAATTAGAGAAAGAAACAACAAAAACGCAGCGAATTTTATTTGCAATCAAATCTAAGCCCAATTAAAATTGCAATTAAAATTAATCATTTTACATTCGAGATGGAGATTGAGTTTCTGTTTAAACCCTCTTGAAAAAAATGTTGTTTTGTACAAGCCTCAAGATATATACACGCTTATATATCACTCACCTCTTATACCACAATAAACGAAATAATTGACTATATGCATATTTATACGCCAATTACATGCGAAACATCTAAAACAAAAAAGCATTAAAAAACCAAAATCGAGCAGAAAACAAGAATTATCTAATTATTTGAATGCAACTTAAATTCCTATTAATTATATATGAAATATCTCTATAAAATATCTCTAAAGAATCACAATTAATAACAGTACGAAAAGAATGAATAAATACAAAAATATTTCATACTAAAATTATTCGAATTTCTATTTGGATGAAAAGGTCGAGTTTTGAGGTAAATGGTGGCATACTTTTAGGGGCAATTTGACTTAAATGTTGATTTAAATATGTTATTTCTTTTTATTTGACTTAAAAAGCAGATAAAACTGTACCTTTTCAATAAGAAACCAATAATATAAAGGGTTATAGTACCTACTTATTATAATTTATAAAGGCAGAGTAGGAAAATATATTTTAAAAGCAAATATAGGAACTCTTAATTTACATTTACTTTTTTCGAAGCTAACCAGTTGTATTACTTTAGGAACTTAACGATTTCTTTGAAAAATGAATTTACGCCAATATTGGTGCAACTAAATTCTGTAAAATTTGATAAAATTTAGCCCCTCTGTGTGCATGCAGCTTATCGCGACTAAGAGCTCTTTGACGGTCTGTCACTGCAAATGGAAACATCAATCACATGTCAATCAACAATGGAAGTAGGGCACTCCAGTGCTTACTCTTACATGCTAACCCCCCTGGACATGCAAATTGTGTGCGTTTCACGCATAAAAAGATGGCAACAAAAAACATATCCTGATTATCGCTGGGAGGATGGGATGCCGGAAAAGCCAGAGGGAAACGAGGTGCCAGGTCGGGTCAAACGCGTGCTGTGCGGATATGCCACATGGATGGCTGTGGCTAAATGGAGCGAATGCATCGCAGCGTGCTACACCCCCTCCTCGTTTTCGATTTTGCATAGAAATCAGGGCTGGAATTTCCCTCATTTTCATGCCAGCCTTGATTTCTGTTTGGCAACGTTTTATAGTTAAAGCGGATTATTTTCAGAGCCATTGTGCCAGCGCCCCCGTCCACAGAGTGTCCGGAAATGCCTCGAACCGATCCTCGGACCCTCGGACAATGCCTCGCTGCACTTCCCCAACTTCGATTGCATTCTGTGTGCGAATGCCGGGACGCCTTGTTAATCCTGTTCCAATTACGCTCATGTGAGTGCCTGCCATTTCATCCCATCGCATCCCTAATGGGCACTTTCGCTCTCGCCGCCGCCTCGTCCTTTGTCCCTTTGGCCGGCTTTGTCCGCCGAAGGACCACTGGACATCGGATTGAGACCGGCGCGGGACAGCCAAAATATTGATTACAGACTGTGCGACGGCTGGCTTGAGCTGCTTTGTTTTGGGTTCTTTAGCGTTTATTTACTGTTGATAAAAAATCAAACTGACCCGTAGTGACCCCTCGAACATTAACAACAGCCGCCCTTTGGGCTTTCCCAGACTTTTCATCTAGTTTTGCCATCAATTGAGTCTTCAAATTACCGATTTTTTTGCATATACATTTAGATGTAAAAAACAATGTAGAGCATTTTATCATGCTGTTGTGAGAATAGTTTAAATACTCTGTATAGAGGATTAAAATGTGAGCTATTAATTTCTAGATAAATAAAACAACAAACATTTGATTTTGAAATGTTTTTAAAATAATTTATGGTAGATTATTAAATTTATTTCGGTTTTTTTTTGTTTTTTTTTTATAATCAACACAAACTCTAAACTCTGTTTTAATGCATTCTATATTTTATTTGACAATGATACCTGATTTTTATTGCTTACACCATATTTTGCTCGTTATAAAATTTATGAGTCAATAATAATTGCATTCAAATGTTTGCATTAGTTTTATTCTGCCAATATGTCGATAAATAAGTATTATTCTTTTTTACAATATAATTTTTTATTTATTAATATTTTAAAAAAAAATTATTAATATAAATATGTACAAATTTTTCAAACTAAATACATTTGACATCGAAACTAATATTTTAAAAGACTTTCCTTAATTTGTTTTCTTTAAATTTCTGTTTATTTTGCAAAATCATTTCTCATAATTCTATCTTTTCAAGCCTCTTTACAGTCAAAATCGGCCGAATTTTTGCCAAATTTACGAACCACAAAGTGTTCATTTGATACCTCCCTTGTGCGTTCGATTTTCGTTACAGTTTCCGCCCTCGGCTCCGCTGTCATCAATGGCATTGGTCATCGATTCGGCACGCCAGCAAGGCACGTGCCGAAATTAATTGCATCTAAGCCGGAGTCGCACGAGGAAAAGGGAGGAAGAGGCAGGCCGAGAGTTCGCAAATATGTTGCACAATGCAGCCGGGTTGCAGGGGTGATGTCCACGAGGGGTTGAAATGCATCCACAACTCACAGCTGCCCGGCACGCGAATGAAGCGAGGGTTGCAGACCGCCAGTTGCAGTGCTGTTTTTTAATGCAACTTTTTTGGCACTCGCCAATCAGGACAGTTCGTTTTTTACGCGAATCTTTTTTTGGAACAGAATCTGCCTATCAGAATTGGGCAGGATGGGGGTGTCCAGATATTACATATTATATATCAAAGCAATTGAGTTTTTGAGTGAAAAAATTATATAAAATTCTATCTAAGGCTTTTGCCTATATTTTAAGACCTTTTTAAACTTATTTTTTATTAAAAATTTCACTTTCATAAATATTTCCTATTGAAAAGATTATAATTTCCACTTTCGTGTATAACTTACCAAAAATGTCCAATAGGAAAGTACTTATTATTTATAATATCTCAAAAACAATATTATTGTAAAATTAATTGTACTTTTAGACACTTTAAAAGTCTTTCAAAGTTATTACTATGTTCTAAAAAAAGAGCGATTGAATATTTTTTGTTAAAACTAAGACGTTTAATTAAATTTTTTTTTTAATTTCATATTTTTGGAATATCTGAGAAATCTTTACAAACGCCTTAAGTCATGGCGAAAAAAAAACTTGTTTCGAACAGAAAATGTTAGTTTTTTTAAACCAAAAACTTTGGTTTTTCTTTATTCTAATTCAACTTAATATAAATTTATAGCTTAGAGCCCAAACGAAACCGAAGTGATTCGTTTTATTTAATTAAGAATAGTCATCTTCTAAGAAAGAATTTTGCATAATTTACTCTATAAATGTTTAAATTACAACAAATTAAGTTGCCCAAGATGAACAGTATAACAGTTCAAAAGCTGAAGTATCCTGAAGTGCGGTCGGCTCACGCACTTATTGAGTGCCAGATACAGATACAGATACATCCAAATCCGAATCCGAATGTGTGCTCGGCATAAAGGTCTATGGCTCGACATAGATAAATGGGTCTCTCTCCACTCCAGTAGCGCTCTCTCTATGTGGCGGGCTGCTCTCCACCCGTGATCGCCATGTAGAGTATCTGTCAGATACATTTGCGTGTGCCACACAGCACACACCACACACTACACTCAACTCAAACCGAAACCGAATCGGGGCGAATCCACTCAACTCAGCTCGATGTTTTCCACGCTCACTCACACAGCAGAGTGAGAATAGTGTTTTCAAGATACCGAGCTAAACATTTTTCGGGTCTGCTGCGACCTTCCTAGAAATAGTCAAACGCAACGCGGAGTCAGTGTGACAAAGTGCGTCGTGCGCAGCGGCAGCGTTTTCCTTTCCTTTCCCCTCACAGAAAAAAAATAACCCAAGAAAATCGAATACGATCTGTATCTGTGTGCGTGCGGGCAGTGAAAATTACAGATACATCTGCGAGTGTGCAACCGTAGCCACATGTGTGTTCGTTGGCAGGAAAACCATGCATTTACAGTGAAGTTTTAAATAACGAAATTCGGAACGAAAAACAATCCATTTAACTGGAAAAAAAAATAATTAAATAATTACAAAAAAGGGAGACAGCATGGAAAATGTACAACTGGAAAACGGCTTGGAAAGGAGGACCAGTCAGAGCTCGACTTCATCAGGTTTGTTTAGATTGGAGCGAAACTAATTTCTATTTACGCTTCGACGTCACACACACCCCCACTCTTCCCCCCTCTGCCCAACAAACTCGTTTTGTGTTCCAAAAAAAAAATAAACGACAACAAATTCAATACGAAATCTTATCAAAGTCGAAGCTGATTGGCTCTGCGATCGCCCTAATATTTCGTTTCTGTTTTTGTCTGTCTGTTTTTTTTTATACTGCGCAGTTCTTTATTCGCCAGCGTGTGTTTTTTTCGGTTTCTGTTGTGTTTTCGCCATTCGCTGATTTGATTTTTTATTGGCAAATGGGGATTTTCATATATAGAGGTGTCATCAACCCCCGAACGCTGACCGACATTCCACAAACCCCACCCCTCGACCAAGGACACGGCAGTCCAAGTGAGGATTATCCTCGCCTCAGTGCATTTGAGGCAAGAGATCTTGAAGATTTACAAAGCTAATTGTACGAGGAAACCAGTTTGGGACTTACCTATAAGAATGGAAAGGGGACAGAGCCGAAGGATAATCATGGTGGTGGTGGTGGTTTGACCAAATTGAAAGATTTTCATTCAATTAGGTTTCTTATCAGACGCAAAAGAATTTCCAGATCTTCGAGAAGTCCATTCACGTTGTCGGGAAAATGAGTGAACAAATTCTTAAGGGGCGACCTAGAAATGCCAACAACCCTCGAAAATGAAAATTTTGATTTCAGATAAGCCAGCATGAGAATGCAGTGCGAGTATCTGTATCTGGGCGATACTACGAGTACAAGAGCCCGTTTCGAAGATAAGCAGCCCAGCCAGCGAAATGGGAACGAGCGAAGTGAAAACAATTTATGAATGAATGAATGAACCAAACCGAACCGAACCAGCCCAAATGGATGGGCGTGCGAGTGTGTGAGTGAGATGAGCCCCTGCTTAGATAATGAAATGAATCCACTCAGCTCTTTCTGCCGCTTCGAAATATGTCTTATAATAACAACGAAACCTGTTTTCTGCCTTCAATGCGTGTTGGTGGAGGGGGGATGGGGATGGGGATGTGGATGAGCGGCGTTCTAACCCAAGTTGAACTTGCCTCGCGGCAAATGGGGCAAGGACACGATGAGCACAGAAACACAGAAACACAGATCCCTAGTTGTTCAGCTGCCGCTGGCTCATTTGAATAACAAAACCTTGAACAGGGATTCCCAGACAGGATATCGAATTGAGCAACGAACTCAAGTTTCTTTTTCATTCCGTTTCCATCCAGCGAATCCTCCAAATCCTGCGACTCCTGCCGAGGAATGCGGCTGTGTGCGCCTGGGCAAATGCAAATGGTTCAACGTGGCAAAAGGTTGGGGCTTCCTCACTCCCAACGACGGCGGCCAGGAGGTGTTCGTCCATCAGGTGAGTTTTAACTAAATATACAATAATTTTGATAAACACGTTAGACCTAACGATAAAGGTACTACTCAAGTTTGTAAAAGATAACATGACTTATAAGTTAACATACATATTTCAAAGAAGTAAGCGCCAAACCTATCCGGATACTTATTAAACATATTGAATAAGTACTTTTCAACCCCATTTAAAAGGGTTTATTTATCATAAATAAAATGTATTAAAAGTAATCATTTAATCATTCTAAAGCACATGGGGTAAATTTGTAAAGCGTATATACTAATACTTTAATACTAATACTCTAATAACCAATTTTAGACTATTTTACGCTAGTCGAGAAAAAATCAAAGACTGAAATAAAAGGCATGTGGTTGGCTAAATCGAATTTCCAAACTGACCATCGCGAACTAGTTTCGGACAAATCTTTTTCAGAAATTACTTTTTAATCTCATGAGACTTACGAATTAATGTTACAGAACAATTCTTGTAGCGTCATGACACTTAATAGATAAAATCAAAAATTAAATATTTAGTTTTGTAATCGACAATGTGAGACAAATTCTTTAAATTAATATAAAAAGAGTTGTTTTGCTTTCACAAAATCACTAATTTTTCATGTAATCAAGTTTTAATGATGTCAGTAATGAAAGCAAAGTCCTGATAAATAATTATAATAATTATAAAAAAAGAAACTATATTTTTTTCAGTTAAAGCAAAGTCCTGATGCTACTACCATCATCAAAACTTGAATACCTTGAAAAATCGTGAACTCTATTTATTTCATAAATTGAAAGGTCTTAAATTTGATAATACAATAATGCCAATTATGTCCACCTTCTTTTCAGAGCGTCATCAAGATGTCCGGATTCCGTTCGCTGGGCGAGCAGGAGGAGGTGGAGTTCGAGTGCCAGCGCACGTCCCGCGGACTGGAGGCCACCAGGGTGTCGGGGAAGCAGGGCGAGAGTTGCCACGGCAGCACCTACAGGCCACGCATGTGAGAAGGGCTCGTCCAAGCGCCAACCGTCGCCACCCACTGATTTTCCCAATTTTTTGCACCCTCACCTTTTCCCACAGAAATCGCAGGACTCGCCGCATGCGCTGCTACAACTGCGGCGAATTCGCCAACCACATTGCCTCCGAATGCGCTTTGGGTCCTCAGCCGAAGCGCTGTCATCGCTGCCGGGGTGAAGACCACCTCCATGCCGACTGCCCGCACCGCAGTGTGGTGAGCATTTGCTACTGAATCTATATTCCATTCCCAAGACTAAACCGCGTCCTTTGGCAGAACCAAACCCACAGCGACAACAGCAGCAGCAGTGGAACGCAGGAGAAGAGAGAGGAGGCCACCTAGGAAACCGGAGGGGATCCGTGGACAAAGGATTGGTAGTTGGAAGTTACAAACTTCTTTGACAAGTACAAAATGGAAATCTAAAAACACATGCATCAAATCAAAGAAACCCACGTACAACAAAACTAGCTACTACTCTTAGATATTAGAGGGGGAAAAAAGAAAAATACACCCCCAAAAAAACCACCCTAGGCTAAGTTTATCCTTTAATTTTATACAACCTATAAAATAAGACTTTTGACTAGAGTACAAGTAAATGAATTAAGCTAGAGAGCATCCCTTGTTCTGCTATCTAAAATCAGAGCTTTTGCACCCTTGGGCCGAACTTAAAGCTCTCGGTTGATAAGAAAGTCCTGCTCGCGAGTCACGTGGCCACTGACAACATTGGAGCTTTTCTTGGGGCAACAACAGAATCACCATGAAAACGCAGAATCATTGTAAGCTGGAAACCCGAAACCTGAAACCCACCCCCCGTGTGAAACCACCACCCCCCGGAAAGTGAAACAGAGTGAGCAGCAACAACAAATAGATTGGGCGAGGACATGGCCAGGAGAAAGGAGTATGGAGGAGGAGGCTCTCTGACTCTCTCTCTCTCTACATCTCTCTTTTTTTTGACTCTTGGCCCTTTGGCTGTTTTTGTTGTGGTTTGGACGGTTTGCAACATTGTTCGGGCTCGCTCGCTGACTCTCTTTCGCGCTTGTGTCCTTCGCAAGGAAGCAGGAGCGGGATACCCAAAAGGATGCAACGCTTATGCGGGACCCTAAAGCCAGAATCGAGCTCAGTCTCAGTTGATCTCTGCCAGAGAATTGTTGTGTGCAACGCGGCGGAATTTACATTTACAACATTTTAACACAGATTTAAAGGACCCAATTTAAAGGACAGCTAAATCAAATCAGCAACTTCAACCAAAAACAATAACTTAGACAACTAAAAGAATTTCAACAAAGTTAACAAAGCGTTTCAGCAACAAATTTTCAACAACCAATAAATACAATTTAAAAAAATATAAACAAAAAAAGAAAAGAAACCAGAAAACATTTGTACAATTTTTTTTGCATAAAAAAAGTAAAAGTTTTTTTAACGCATAAAATATGGAAACGAAAAATGATGGCGAAAACTAAGAGTTCAAGGTTAAAAGAAAATGCGAAAATTACCTGTTTTAACTGGGCAAACAATAATAAAGCCAGCATCAACTGACAATAACAAAAGCAACGTCAACGTCATCGCATATTCATTTGGGGCAAGCCACACACACAAAAACACAAAAAAACCAAGGCACACAAAGGCACTCTCGCGCACATACACACATACACTGAGAATTTACAACCAGATTTACATGGGGAGCGCCTGTTATGTAATATCTGTAGCGCTTGCTCGGAAAAAAAGATACTTTTCTAGCGCCATCTGTTGGATGTTGGAGAGAAGGTATTGCGTTGCCACTAGAGTTGACAAGAGACTAGTAGATATCGGTAGGATAGCCGCGAGAGAGCAACAGTGGCAAGTGTCAACTGTCTCCGCTTTCACCCTGAATTCGATCTGGGGTTACCGCCACTTTTCCGGCGGCGTGTTCTTTCTTTTCCGTTTGGCAGCAGCAGAGTGAAGTCGAGAGTTCGCAGTGACTAAATTAAAATTCGAAAGTACACGCGAGTGATCTCACTTTAGTGCCGAAGGGAAGGAGTTAAACAATTTGGCTTTGAGCCGCATAAAAAGGGTGAGATGAAAAACAAGCGAGTTTATAGGCAGGTGATTATTTTTGGGGGTTTTATAGGCCACCGTTGGATTGATGTTCGAAGGCCGCAAAGTAAAATAAAGGCGAGTTCGATCGAGACGAACGGGCGCCCGCGCAGTCCACATAACGAGCGAGCAACCTCCACGCCAGATATTCAACTCGGAACAACAGCGCACAAGGAAGGGCGAAACTAAGTGTCTATTCATATTTCCATCTTTAATCATCCCCATTATCCGGTGTGTCAGCCCCAAATTTCATAAGCCAGAAAAGTGAGCTAGGCGCCGTCTGACCATCGAGCCGTTTAATCGAGGCGAACTAAACACAGGTTCGATCGAACCGATTTATCAGTTTCTCTTTGCTCGGAGTGCGCATGCGACGTCGCGGCTACGGTCTGTGCTTTTAAAAGTAATTCTCGGGGAGTTAGAAAGACCATACTTAGGCCAAGAAAATCCTCGCCGTTTCGGCCAAATCCCGGTCGGAAGGGTTATCGGAGTACTCGCCACGGATAAGCGGGAAGTTTAGGTTTAAAATTCGGTTTAAGTTATGTAATAAGTGTTCGTTCGTCAAAAGTAGAGAAAAAATTTGATTTTATTTTGTTCGGTGAAAGTGTGGTTTGGGGATAAATTCCTATTCATATCCCAGAGAAGGTAGTGCTGATGCCATCAGAAGGTCTTCACGGGCTGTACATTCCGCTTTTTATTTAATTCCTGATTTAAAAAAATATATATGTCTCTGTGAGTGTGTTTCCCTTATTCAACCTTATTTAGCCATCGTCAACGAGGAAAGCGCTTTCGTCGGTGGATGGACATAAGTGTGGTGAGTTTTTAAAAAGAAAATCTATACAAAATCTCATAAGAAAAGTCAAAAGAAATAACTTAAAATCTAACCTAAAAAAAAAAAAAAGAATATGGAGAAATAAAGAAACAAAAAATTGCTACACTCAGAAAAAAAAGTAAAGTAAATTAGATTGAATTCAGATTGAACTAAAAGCTGATTATGAATATCGTGATGCATCCTTCAGTTTAAATGGTGAAAATAAAGTTAAAGTCAAAATTGGATTAGAAACAAATTAAATAAAATATGAAGATTTTTCTCTCGAGTGATATGATCCCCATGCCTCAGTTAACCATGTTTGCATCAATCAACAAGTTTTTTTAATTGCCTTACATACTCATTATTTGCCATATTTTAACTTATATATATATATATTCATTGTTTATATTTATTTATTTATTTTAGGCATGTCTTTTTACGGTTTAATTTAAGAAATGGTTTATATATCTAGTTATTAATAAAATTGTATAATGTTTTGCTAAGGTGAAAAGTGGCCGCAGCTAGCGTTGTCTTATAATGTAGAGTAGCACTTGTTAAAGGGGTCGCTCAGGCTGTTAAGCTCTGAGGATATGAGCGACCATTGGTAGGGTGGGCAAGACCAGGACCTCCACAACATCCAGGGAGGCGAAAAGGAGAAGTCAGCCAAAATGGGAAAGTAGGGAGTATAAAGTGATGATTTAATGTGTGTGTTTCTCTAACCCGGTTTCAGTTTGGTGATGCACGCGAGTATCTAGTTATTATTAGGGAAGGCATTCCGAGGTAACAGCAAGACCATCACACCCATAGCCGAAGAGCCAGAGCCGGATATATTTTTTCGCGTGCGCTGGTATCTCGAGACAACATCCAGCCTGATTTGTATTAATAAGTGTAGCGGTTCGTTACAGTTATGAATTATAAAATAAATAATAATAAAAAAAAGATTGGCGCCCTAACGTGTTGGCCACATATAGGATTATAAGTGACTCACACACACACATATTACATAATCGCTGTTCAAAATTTTCTATCAGTCAGGGGGTGGGCTAATACCAGTCAGTGTTTACGTTCAGTCATTTACCCAAGGTTGCCCCAGCTGCTAGAAAAACATATGTTGGTTTCCACTCGGAGTTGTTCGGAAGCATAGGAAAACGGAACAGAAGTTGAAAAGAAGAGGAATCAGATTTGAATTGCCTAGCCGACCGCAGACGACAACATCGAGGTAGGAAGCATACAGACGTGTGTATACCCTACACAGTGCAACCCGAGTCAAGCACATCAAACGCATAGGACTAGCAGGTGCATTTGCTTTCATAAGCGAAGCAGCTGACCACGGATGATATGCATAGACAAAGGGGCACGACCATTTTCATAGATGGGACATAGTTTCCGGTTAATATTCGCATAGGACACACTGAGCTTTAATCTTTCAAAAGAGACACTCAGGCCACGGATAATAGCGGAAGACATATGCCCAACATAAACGGAAGAGTAGAAGTGTCAGCCGCATGGACCGCAGACAGAATTTTGTTTGACCACGGCGGACTCTTCGCGCTGCTGATTAGCGATAAGCAATGCTCGCCAAATTTTTTTTCCCAATTCCTTTTTGTGCTGATCGAAACCTTTTGGTTGTATAAAAGTGCATTATTATTGCAAGCAACTAGCTATGCTTGCTGGCCAGACTTTTGATATTGATTTTCGTTATTGTTTTATCGTTTTTATATATTTATCTTTGTCTTTATTTATCGTATCTAGTGAACAACTTCAGATCAGAAATTATTTATTAAACTGTTGAACTTAAAAAGCATACAACCTAAAGAAAAAAATCAACATTTTTAAGTCCAAGTTTGATGCTCAAGCTACCGGTTTGATCAAACTTGTTTGAACTAAGTAGATCTGGTGGATCGGAACTTGGATAAATTTTCATGTATTTATATCTAGGAATTTATATCTTTCTCATTCCTGGTACCTTGGTTCGAGTCGTTTTAAACTCTCGCTCGGTGTAACGCGTAGAATCACCATATTTTTACTTCGTTTTGGTAATTTAAATAAAAGGTCGCTAAGAGATAATGGATTTAGACGCTTCAGGGCCGTCAAAATGTGTGATTTGCGACAAATTGTTGTCGGCGGACCAAGTAGCCCGTGCCAAATGCGGCCACGAGTTCCACAAGGATTGTTTAGAAATTCAAATAAAGGCTAAGGGCAGTTGCCCTGGTTGCCATCCCAAAGGAGAAAGCAGTAAGCAAAAAGGATCAACTAGTAAACAAGCAACCAGTGCAGCGGACTCTGAGGCTATCAGTATCATTGTGGCGCAGCAGCTGAAAGCGATGCAAAATGAACTGCTAATCCAATTAACTGATCGGATGGCACCAATAATTCAGGCAACTTTATCTGCCCATATTCAAGAGCCGTCAAGACAAGAAGCAGTCCATAATTTCAGAGCACCGTCGGATATGGGGGAGATTGAAATGCCGGAGAGGCCCATTTCAGCTTTTACAAGCTCTGATTTGAGCAGTCGTCCCGATAAGGTCGGACAGATCATTAGTAGTTGGAAGTTGCGGTTCAATGGAGACAAAGAAGGGTTAAGTGTGGATAAGTTTCTATATCGGGTGGAGGCGTTAACACGCCAAACGCTTAATTCAAGGTTTGACTTGCTATGCGGCAACGCCAGTGTACTGTTCGAGGGAAAGGCTCGCGAATTTTATTGGCGCTTTCATAAAACATCGGATAGC